TTTAAGCCAAGTTTTCTTACTGCTCTTTTTGGCTTTTTCCCTCCAAAATTTATAATTTTAAGGTGCAGAATTTAGGAAGTAAATTTAACATACATGCACTGGAGGTGGGAGGAAGGGTGTTGTATGGAGGGTATGTGATTTCTCTGCTAAACTGGGACAAGGTTCAAACTCCTGTCTATGGGGAGAGATAATCAACGTGACTAAATACTGATAATTAATTCATGTAAGTACAAAAGTGTGCAAAGTATTCCTTGTAGTAATCTTCCAACTTTTTTTTGTAGCTCTGAAGTTTTTCAAAATAAAATTTAGAGGAAATATTCAAAAGCACGTACAAGTAAAGCACAGTCATACTCTTAAGACTACTACAGTCCACAAGACTGGACTAGGGTGAAGAAAGTAAAATATCTGAGGTACAAAATTTAAGGAAGTACCTGTAGGAACCCTGAGAGTGAGTCCTCAGAGCTGGCACAACCCTGAGAGCAAGTGCCTCCTTAAGTGTCACATTGTAGGTGTCTTCCTTGTTTTACCCTATGTTGGCCCTAATATTTTCACCTGCTTTCTCAAACTGATTAGAGTAGTTCTAAGGAGAAAGCTTCAAGTCAATTTTATCCATGCATTCCTTCACTCATTTGCCCTCCAAACATGTATTGAGTCCCAACTATGTCCTCTTCGATTACTCAGCCAGGAACCCACTCTGCTAATAAACCGTTTGACTCTCAGACAAAATAATTCAACCAAATTTGCATCATTCATTTACTTGTCTATGTGTTAGATGCTGGGGCCACTGTAAGGACAGACCAGATCTTGCTAAAATATCTTACTGTCTGCCTGCCATTGCCTTAATACTATTATTTTTATCAGCATCAAAGTCATCATTTACATGTCTGTTGCCCCAATTTGATTAAATGATTCCAGAATAGGGGATGGGTATTACTCATCTTTGTGTTTTCAGCCAAGCAAACATTTACTGGGGGTTCACAAACCTGCCCTGTATTTTCTAAGCTCTTTCTATATGTTAACTCAATTATGCCCTGCACCAACGCTAAGATTCTCCTTTTACAGATAAGCAAACAGGAGGGACTGAGTATCTTTCCTAGGGTCACACAGCATGCAAGAGGCCATGCCAGGGTCTGATCCAGGAGCCCTGCTCTGGAGTCTACCATCTCAGCAACTCCACTAAATCTATCTAGAAATTATTACCCAAAGAGCTGCTCCCCAGTTTCAAAGGGCACTCAGCCACAGTGTACTCCTCACCCATTATTACTTAGAAAGATCTAGAGGGCACCAGGGACACTCTCCGTGAAATAAGCCTCAAATCCCACCACCTGGGCAGGCAAGTCAGACTTTGGGGAACTTCCTGCTTAATTTCACCTTGTCTAAATATAACCAACTAAAAATAACCCAAAAGCAACGTGTCTCAGAACCGCCAGAGGAACGGCAGAAGGCTGCAGGGGACGTGATGGGAAAGAATGATCCCAACCTCCCTAAAACACTGCGATGCTTTCCAACATCAGCAAGTTGCACATTGTGATGAGAAAACAAAGTTTCCAATTATTGAAATTCCATAGTGTATTTAATTATGCAATTATCTTATTGTATTAACAAGTGCTAGGGCACAGCAGCAAATGTTGAGATTATTGCAGTGGGGAAGTGCAGAATTTATTCTTTCCCACAGCTGATGACTTCTCTTGAGTCCATCCATTTTTCTGGGATTTTGGAGGTGATCCTACTTCTGAACTGCTTCGTTCACAAATCCAAAGCAAAGCACACCCCCACTTTTGCCACTCCAACTTTGAAGCATGACCCCACTAGACTGAGCATATTTCAAGGGAAAATGTCTGCAAATTCACATCCCTTTTGTTTTCATTAATCACTTTAGGTTCTTTTCCTCTTTTGAAATTGAAATAAATATAATGTAAATACAAATAAAAATGCACTTATACAAATTACATATTTTCAGTGATGTGAACACAAATATATTCTTGTTCATTTGCTTAATAGGGACTTGTCCCAAAGGATTCATGTATCAGGCTGCAAAAGCCAGAGTATTCATCAAAACATCTAAAATAGGTATACTGTGATATTATCATGCACTTGTATTTGCCACAGTTACCCCGGAAAATATGAAATGTAATCATGCAAAATTAAACATTCCATACATTTTCTATTCATCTTTGAACACTCTCCCTCTAGTCCAAAATAGGCTATCACACTTCCAAGTTTATAGGGACAAAAAGTGAATCAAATTTCTTGTTTCTGAAAGCATTACAAGTAATAAGTCTTTTCACTTAGGGCTTTTCATCTCAGAATCACCAGGCTCTTTACATATAAAACGTAATTAATCCATACAGTCAGCTATATCCCTACCCATTGGGAATCCTCCTTGCTGATAATCACTCACAGAGAAACCATACCTGCATTTTCTCAAGCTAAATTCAGTCCAGGCTATTAGGAATGATGTTTCATTTACTTGAGCATGACCAAGAGGCACAGTCATAGGTAGAAAACCTATTTTCCCAAATAAGTAATAGTAAAGAACACAAACTCTCAACCCATCGATTCTAGCCTGGGGTTTGAATCCCAATTTACACTTTTTAGCTATGAGATGATGGAGCAAATCCTTTCAATTCCCTGTGCTTCGGTTTTTGCAGTGGTAAAACTACGATGATAATAGGACCTATCCCTAGGGTTACTGGAGGAATGAAAGGAGTTAATGCATGTAATTCATTAATAGCATTAACTGTTATCATCTTGTCCCACCTGACGCCTTTCAAAGCAATTTCACAACAATGACTTCATTGGGGTCTCCATCTTCCTATGAAGTAATGAAAGCAGATGCTCTTATCCCCATTCTATAGGTAAAGAAAGTGAGATTCAAAGAGAGCTGCTTGAGATCAGGACTAGAACCCCCAGAAACTAGTCTAATATTCTTCTTTGTCTCTATATCCAGAACAAACTGTGACCCAGAGGGATCCCTGCTTATTTCGGGGTGGGGGGAGGATGTTGCACAGGGAGGGGGTCTGATTTCAAACAAGGCATGGGAAGCATCTTGTTGCCAAGGCTTGTCTTGCATAGCAAAAACGACCCAGATCAACAGAAGACATACCAACAAGACTGCCTTAATCATGATTTCTGCTAACTACGAAATGTAAGTTAATTTCATGCCTTGCATTCCCAGACAAAAAGGTTCAGAGCTGTTTAAATTCTCTTCAACCCAATGACAGTTAGTAAACAGGAGGCTTCCTGTTTTAATGCTTGAAATCACCCTTCGTATCTCAATATATTATTTATGCACTCAGCTTAAAATAAACAGCAACTCCGAAGTAGGTGAGTGGGCTCATCTAGTATGAACCCTTTTTTTTTTTTCACTCTGACAGTTACTTTAAAACATCAGTAAACAACCTTAATTCACTTCTAACGAATTAGTAGGCTACTGCTGTGTCTCCAGGAGCCAAGGAGATTGTATTATTAACCAAAACAACTTTCTCCCTGTCAATCACCTGCACCTCACAGAGGGATGTGGGCTTTGCTGTCTCATTACTCAAACCAAACCATGGGCATATGTGATACCAGGCGGTTTCTTCGAGGTCATTCTCTTCTGGACCTTTGATTAGATCACTTGACTCTGGGGTGCAGAATGGGGCCTGAAGAAAGTAGATTCTCAGTGCTACTTATTAAGAGAGATATAGACAAATGAGAGCCTTTCCAGAGGAGTAAAGAGTTGGGAATTCATGGCATGTGAGGTGCAGTTGTTGAGGGAATGGAAGCTGACAAAGAGGCCACTTCCAGGGGGACCCTGATAGTGCCACCAAATACTTGAAAGGGTGTCACTTTGAAGGAGAAAGTCTTATTCCTTGTAGATGCAGATAGTAAAATTAGGAACCAAGGGTGGAAGATACATGAGGGTAGGTGTGAGCTCAACTCAAGAAAGAATCCTGTAACTGAAAAGAGTTGCCTCTTGAGGTAATAAATCTGCCCTTAGAGGTTCTGGGGCACCTATCAGGCAGAATCTTTAGAGCTAGCCAAGATAAGGCACTACGAGAGACATGTAAGGACACTTCCAGACATAAGATCCTACAACCCCATGAATCTCAGTAAAACAGGCTTCAATAAGCATCACAACCATTTTTAAACTCTCTCTGTTATGAGTTTTTAAGGTGTGACAGCTATTCTTCAAAAACGAAAAACAAAAAAATACCATGGATTAAGCACTGGGCATGTCACTGGACAGTCTAGTCTTGCAGAACACCAGGACATTGGCTGACCTAGCGAAATAAAAAGATGTACCATTCTGTGGGGAAAATCAGATGAAGCAGTTGCTTTAGGATTGTACCATTTCTGCCTGCTCTTTGGCTTTGTGGCTTGCAACCCTTGGCCATTCCATGACCAGGAGGCCACTCCCACGTCACCTGGGCTGTCATGTGATCCAGAAGAGGTGATCCACACTTCACTCACCTTGCTAGTTGGCCTCCCAAGTCTGGAACCACAATGCTTTGCAACGTGTCTAAGGTATGTCTAACTTAGTTTCATTGTTAACAAAACATCTCTCACCTCAGTGAAACATTCAGTCTCTCCCTGAAACCAATCATTTCTTTGATACACACACTGACAGCTCAAAACAGAATTAAATGCAAATTTTAAAAAAGAAGAAGAAGAAAAAGAAAAGGATAAAAGTGGTGAAAGAGAAATAAAAATACCTTGCATTCATATCCAGAGTTTATATCAACATGTTTACACAATTTGCAGACATGTATTCTTCCAAATTGTCTGGAAAACATTGCCAAAATATTTTGGGGAGGTGAGTCAGCCTTTTCTACATCCAACATATTGACAAAACATTAGAGAGTTCAGAAATATTAAATTCCTCAAAGGAAGTCAGATTATCAATCTTTGGGTGTGAAACTTGGTGTTACTGATTTCCTAATATGGCAAGAGCAGACATCTGGTATTTGCACTTTGGAGTAATAGAACATAACATGACAATAATATGTTATACTTACAAAGTACCCTTCATCCATGGGGCTCCAATTTTACCAATATTAGTTCACTGATTTTCGCAAAAAACCTGAAAGGCAGAGGGTAAGTTTGTGTTACCCCCACTTTGTAGATGGGGATATTGAAATGCAATAGGCAAATAAATTATTGATCCATTATAATTAGAGAATTCAGTAATGGAGGACAAGAATTACAATTTTCTCCTTCCCCATCCCAATGCAACTTGACCACCCATCTTCCCCTTGGGGACTATTCTTTCCCACATAATTTCCACTTCAATCTCAATTTATTAAACACATTTTTGCCCACAGAAGACAGTGCTGAATGTAACCCTTGATCTTATGAGCCCAGACACCAATAGTCCTTTGATACCAGAGGAAAGGTTCAAAAAACTTCCCACATCCAGTTTAAACATGGAAAAAAAATTAGATTGACAAAATACAACCATCCAACTAAAATTTGGCCTGAAAATAATGTTACTACTGTTCAGTTTGTTACATACTTATGTTCACATGTCAGCATATGGACTTGTCTTTAAAAATGATTCCAAGGAAGTCAGAATTCTTCAGAAGTAATCTCGCCAACAGCATTTTTAGAAGTGTGTATTTTTAACAACCCTTTCTAGGACACCCCATCCCTTCTACCACTCTCAGGCCATTTATTCATACACTGAACAAATAATCAATATTTAGTGCATCCTTACTACATATAAGTTTAGCACTATATGTGGTTTCTTGGAGGACACACATGTGTATCACACAGGTCCTACCATCAAGAAACTTACAATTTTATGGTGTACTGATTTTAGTACAGTGACAATCACTCTGTTCTAAAACTCTCCAGAAAGATCTGACAGTTTCTGGACACTCTTGGTGAGTCATAGCCACCAATCCAGAAGGATGGCTCCTTCGGGGAATATTCTCAAAAAAGATGAGTCTGGGTTCTGTTTATGAGCCATACTATTTGGGACTACAGAAATGCTAAAAGATGTATCTTCTTCAAATATCTGACCCAGAGTCTTCCCAAAGCCCATGATTTGAGGGTCATGATGTATCACAATCTTCTGCAGCCACACTGACCTCTTGCCTCATCCTTGAGTATCCAAGCACATTCACACCTCAGGACCTCTGCCCTTGCAATTATTCTCTTTGCCTGGGACAATCTTGCTGCAGACACCTGCATGATCTCTGCTCATATACCTCCTCAGTGAGTCTCCCCAAAACACCTGTCTAACATAGCTGTGACTCATCCCACTCTGTCCCCTTACCACTTTCTCTTTCTTAATGAGGCTCACCTCCACCTAACAGCAAATGGTTCATCTCTTTATTTGTTTTTCTATGCCCCATCCTACCCCTCAACCATGATATACACTCCGTAACAGCAGGGACTTCTAGGTTCACTACTAAATCCCAGGGTCAAGGCACGCCATAAATATTGCTCGAATGAATGACTCACAAGGCTGAACTGTGTACTGTGCTCATCTCTTGTATCTTCCTTCACTGGGATACTAAAATAATGACTAATAAATGAATTTCAGTACCAGTTCATAATAGCTTTTTTTTGCACCCCCCCCAAAAAAAAACTCCACACTCAGTGAAATGTTTCTTAAAAATATAATAAACACCAGTTTTTATCATTTTCCCCTCTCTTGATTGCTCAGGCACTGGGCCAGGGGTCAGGTAACCTTGTTCTCTGGCCAGTGCTCCTGTGAGCTGCTCCATGAGCCTGATCCCTTCATCCCCCCGGGCCTTTCTTTCCCAGTGGTAAAATAAGGAAGCTTCAGAAGCTCATTTCCAAGGTTACCTCTGGTACAGAAACTATGGAGATCAACACATAGGTGATGGGCCAAATTAGATTCATGTTTTTACATCTTCTGATTTAATAGCATTTTCTATGTGTAAGCTTATCTCAAAGGTAGCATGGTCATTTCATACTAAGTAAGCAGGAATCCCAGAGGGAAGGATTTTATTATCTAACTATATCTATGAGCATGCTGATTTAGGACAAACACCATGGATATCACTGAAAACCTGTTTCCACCCCCCATACACACACTATCACACCACCAACATATGACAGACATGCAAAGAAAGATGCCGCATCAGCTGTTTATGACATCTTGAGTCACAGACACTTGGGATCTCTAAACAGATTTCTTGTTTACTTGCACATTAATAAAACTCGCACCTTCGCCAGTCAGAATTTTCTCCAAGCATCTGAACATCCAAAGAGATTTAGAAGCAATTAACATTCACGAGTAACAGAGCAATCAACATGGGAACCGCTAATGGGACTGGAAAGAATCCAAAAGCAGATATTAGGATAATAGTAAGTCCCTGACATAGGTTACTGTGTTAATTCTGGAGGGCAGACTCATAGTATGTGTTCAGGAGCTTTGTGAGGCTGCTGGCACAGTCACATATGCCTCTTCTATATATGGTTCCTAGCACCCTACAACATATTTTTTCCTTAACTGCTATCGAAAAGAAGGCATTTTTTTGCATCGTTATAACACAACCCCTAGCATTAATGGTATATATTGAATTCAAGTTTATTTTTAAATTGCCTACCTGACAAAAATGTTAAAATGTCATTTTTCCCCGTTTTGGGTCTCTAGACTAACTTTACCTGTTAGCGCCTGTAGCTAGAGGCCACAAAAATAATAGCTATGAGTTTCCACCTTGACGCTTCCCCAATAACTTTTGCCACTTCCTTGTGTGTATACGGGTTCATACATCCCTTGTACATAGAAAGACACCAACATTCTTATCCCGACGAGCTCTATGCTTGCCTCCTTGTCAGTGCTCCTGACCTGTTTTTATAAATATCACTCCAGAAATCAGCACCCTCCCCCTTTTTCCCCCCAGCCCTTTGGAGAAAGTCTGTGTAACAGAAAATGTTTCCACTGTTACTCTTGCTGATTTCCATGTTCCTGCCTTCATCTCTGGTCAACTAAATGCATCTAAACTGCCAATGCGCTCGTCGCTCTTTCTTCCCCTCGGACCACATTCCTTCATGCTGGCCCTGGCTCTCCTCCCTTGCCCCCAAACACAGATGACTCTACCTTCAGATCCTTGACCTCCCCAGATCCACAGATTCCTCTTTATCTTCCCCTCCCAGATCCCCTCCCAGCCCTCCTTGTGGGTCATGTGGTCTCTCTCAGGACAGAGACCTACACCTCTAATCACAGGACACCTTCCCTTACATGAAGACACTGGACCCCATCCCGTCAGAAAACTTGGTTTATTCCCATTTTTCATAACTTAAGATATAATTAATCACAGCCTATTACGATTTGCTTCATTCTGTGAGGCTTAAGAAAATATATTTGTTCCAAGGTCAGGCTTGTTTCAAGTATTTTAACCTTAGTTATGTGTATTTAATTGGACAATACAATTCATTTTGAAAAGACTATCTTTCTGGCTATCCCAGTCTATTCATATTCTGCTCTGCTCCTTTCTCCTTCTACTTTGCTGTTTTTGGCTATTAAAGGGTCCCTTTTTTCTTAACAATCCAGCTTTTTTCCCCTTTACCTCCCCACCCTCAACACATACCCATTTGTGCTAAAAGCCTGTTTTGACAAAGATTTTATACAACAGAATCCAAATTAAAGGGGAGTTATCAACAGACTTGTACTTGAGAATCCCTTACTTTATCTCTGTGGCAAGGAGTTTTAGATTCTCAGTGCCAGCCCCAAAGCTGGGAGACACGAGTCGCCAAGAGCTTCTACAGCTCACCCATCTCTCATTCATCACCTCCCATGCCCCTGGCTCCCCCCACAACCCCAAGGGGCAGGATTGGAGATTAAAGTGCTTCTGGGCTTTGGTAATCCAATCAGGGCTACGAAGGCTGCAATCTCTACCCTTCGGTAGGTAGGAAAACATTTTGGCAGAATGCCTTTCAGTGGTGCTCTGCATTCCTGGCAGGTCCTGTGCTACTATGTTACTGAAGACATTTGTGCTGTGACAGTGATGGGCTCAGAGTGGAGACTTTTCATACTGTCCCTGTGACTCTATACCTTCCTGGATGCTAGACTTTGTAGCTCCTTCTGCCTTGTAAACAGCCCCGCACCCGTTAACCCGGAGTCCTTCAATATTTGCTGCTCTAGAATAGCTAAAAATGTAGACTTCCCTTATTTACAGCCTAAGTAGATTTTAACTACTCCTGAGAGAGAAGCAGATGAATAAAGAAAGCAATCTGAGGAGTTTGGGGAAAGTAGAAGCAATGGTAAAAACTTGTATTTGACCATTTGTTCTTTCACCAAATATTTACTGAGCACCTACTCTAGGTTCATGGTGGTGAATAAATAACCTAAAGAACTTCCCCCCAAGGAGTTTATGCCCAAAGGTGAGGAGACACCCTGTAAGCAAATAAGCAAGTAAATAGAGATGTCTAGTCGTGATAAATGCTATGGAGAAAAATAAAGCACAGGATGCCAGGGAGTGTAAGGACATGAACCCACACTTTATGTAGCATTTATTTCCCCATGTCATGTCAATGAACATTTGTCACCAAGCGCCTGCTATGTTGCAGGCCCTGGGATGGATTCTGGGGAAGCTGGCATATTGATAGAAAGAGAGAGATGGATGGGGACATTAACATATATACACCACACACTCAATTTCCAGTTATTTGCCTGTGAAGGGTATGCAGTCCTCACCAAGTGGTGTCCACATGTGATGCCACACTGCCAACAGCAATATCTTTTAAAAGGGCCCCAATGAATGCCATTAGGGGCCTCCAATGTGGGCAGGGCACAGTGGGGTCCATGTCTGACTTGTAGAAGGACAGGAGTGTTCAAAGCATTGAGAGCCTCAGCATGGGGTAGGCAACCATGGACCTGGCTTAGCTCCAGCATTCACCTCGCTGAGGGGCTGGAGGGAAGTTGCATCCCCTCTTTACCTCTACAAAATGAGGATTACAGGCTGCTGTAGGGTTCAAAGGCAGTAAAGCAAAGAAAGTGCCCGGCACAGTGCCTGGCACTAATCTGACAGCTGAGTAATTGCTTCACTCCGCTCATCCAGAAGGAAAAAGGACACCAGAAATGCAACAGCTCTGAACAGAATGTGT